CAAGTAAATCATTTTTAGGCATTCCTGTGCATAACAGACCCTAGTTAAATCCTGCACACTTACTGTTTAAAAAGCACTCTTGGAAACTGCCATGACCTTAAGTAAAAAAATTAATTCATATTAAACCCTCTAATTGAAATAAACAATTTCAGAAGACTATTTTGACATATGATTAATTCTCTAAAACGCAAGTTTATTAAAATGAAGACAGCAGAAGAATGAGTGTATATTTTTATCTTATAATAAAAACTGAACAAAGGCCTTTCAGTCACCTATTTTATAAATTAACCTTTAGTTCAAAGTCTCATCTTAGATAACCACACATTACAGTAATAACTACCACCAATAAAATGTTCTCCAAGTACTTTTATCACATTTAATATCCACAATAACCCTAATCATTAACACATTATCTCCATTTTACAAATAAAGTTAAACATTTATCTATCACCCTTGCCTGACCTAAACCTTTTGTCCACATTATAGAAAAAAGATTAGAAAAGAATTTCTGATTTCAAACATTCACATAATAACAAAGTAGTCAAGTTGGCACAATCTTGCACATATATTACTGTGTCTTCGGCACAGACAACTTTACAACTTACAAACCACTTGTACCCTGTCATCTCATTTGTTCCCACAACAGTTCTGTTAAGGGATTATTATCACTACCCTATGTGATAGGCTTCAAGGCACAGACAATTTACGTGAAGTCACTCGGCTTTTTATTCTTCATTCTTTTTTCCATACACTATCTTTCTTCGCTGTGACTAATGAAACATGACCCCCACAATCTGAGTATCATGCAATAAAAAGATGAAATGTAGTAGAGGTCCTAGATAAGCATCTTTCATCAGTGACAAACTTCACCAAGTTAATAGAGTTACTAGTTATTTTGATACCAACCACAAAAATACAAATTGAGTAATTTTTATGAAGCTGGTATGTTAGCAAGGGAACCACCTAGATTGTACTTGTACTGGCCAGAAGACTAAACCCCAAGTCAGCTGTGAGTGCAAACTATCTCCTTGAGGTGTACAGGATGTGTAAATTAGCCTTTCATGACTTAGCGATTGTTTCGAATAGACATTATCTGCCAATAAAGACTTCTAGCCATTTGCTTGAGTGGATAATAAGGGTGGCTATTTATACACACGCTTTTCTACAAAAAAAATCTACCAAAATTTGGCAAGTATGTGTACAGCCAAACACGCAGGGATGTGCTTAGCAATAATTTGAAAAATCATTTTTAAAATAGTTATCTCGGCTTTGCATTTGTGAACACTTCAGGCTTCTCAATGTCCACAAGAAGCAAAATTGTTCTACTTCATCACTTCTCCATCTATCTACAACATCTACCTTTTCCCTTCCTACTTCAAAATTTCCCACTTCGCTTAGTGACTTGCCCCATCTTCAATTTTTAACAGCCCTGTCTTCTCGTTAGTACGATTTCAGACTTCCCTCGAAGTTTTACCTAGCCATCTCTAATTACACGGCAATCTTCAATGAAGAAAAGCCTCCACCCTCCTCTTCATCTGGTAAGGAGCACAAAGTGCCTCTGGGTAGTTTCTGTGGCTGCTGACAAGTCACAATCACTCCCTCCAATGGGAATAACTCGATTCCCTCATGGGAAGGCTTTAAGAAATAAAACCAAAACAAGATATTTAAAGTGGTTTATAAAGTAACAAGTATTATCATACTGCCATATTTTCAGATTGATTTTTTTTCAGCTATTCATTCTCAAAGCCATTAGAGAAAGCCCTCAACTGTTCTTCTGCATTATGGGTGCCAACAAAAAAGAAAAGAATAGGAAGAAATTTACAGGAGTAATGAATTCACTGGGTGATCAAGTTCAGTTATTCCATATTCCCCACCACCTTTCTTAGTTAAGCCATGCTCAAGAAAGTATATAATACACCTGAACTTTGAAACTCCAAAATAGCTACACAGACTACAATACCATTACACTTTAAAAAAGAAAAAAGAAAGAAAGCTGTTTCCTAGCACCTACCCCAGAGAAAACCTTCTCTGGTAAAGCTGTAAATCACCATTACAAGAAAGTTTAACTTCTATTCTCATCCGTTACATTTCTGGCTCTTAAATTTGAAAGCTGCCAAACAGCTTTGCTTACAGTTGTGTGTCAAATACATCTTCCAATGGAGCATAAACAATTTTTTTAAATATATGTTGCTCCTAAGTATCACAATTTTTTAAATCTCTTGAACTGCAGCATCAAACTAGGTGACAATTTCCCATGTAGTTGCTCTCAGCAGCTGCTTCATAACCAAATATATATATATATATATATATATATATATATATATCACTTTGGGGAAAAATTCTAACAATTTCAAGAAATTACCTTTACTTGTGAATATTCAAAAACTTTATCCTAAAGTTACACACAACAACAAATGAAAAAGGAATTCCAAAACAGGTACACTCAACTTAAGGCCAGAATCTCAATTTAAATTCATGGTTTATTTTCCTTGTAATAAATACCTCTTTACTGTAAGGCAGGTCCCACACCCCCCAAAAGAATAATTTTAAAAGATTTCAAAACACTTGACTAAATAGGTTTAATCACATCCACTTATTCCTATCATCCTACGAAGTCATTAAAATATGAGTCTTGGTGCTTTATAAAGATCCTACATCCCTAAAGAGTAAGTATTTCTCATAAAAGAGACACAAATCATCTTCCTAAGACTAAACTACTGGAGTTGCACCTGACTCACCCCAACTTAGCTCTTCAACTTGACTTCTCCAGAAAGCAGAGGGAGACAAAGAGTTCCTACAGTCAAAAACAGACAACTCCCTACTCTTTCACAGCCTATTTGCTCTTACTTTAAACACAAATTTTAACAAGTTTATTTGGTTTTGAATGTAGTGATGGGTGACTCAGAGCAAATTAGCAGGGAGAGGAACTGTTTTAGGTATTCATTTGTTAGGAATGACTATTAAGTGAAGGCTAACTCCAAAAGAAAGAAAGAAAAAAAAAAGACTAAAATCTGTGAGTAGAAGACTGAGCATTTAATAAACGGTGAGCCCTGTTCATCAAGTCTTAAGAACTGCATCTCTTCTCAGAGTACTACAGCATAAAAACGATGTTCACAGCCATGACTGAGTCATAAAGCTGTGCTTCTGATTAGACAAGTACATAAAACACGTTGACACTACATCTGAAATGGTTACCTTAAAAAGAAAGATAGACAGACAGACAGACACACACACACAACCCTTAAGATCCAAGAGATAAATTAACTAATCTACCAGTATTCCAAACACTTGAGAATTTCAACCAGAAGAGATCTAAGACAAAATGTCTCTTTCCTTTTTCTCTGTGTAAACAGTTCTCATATGCTCTGGTTGGCAGGTAATAACAAATAAACTTTATTTCCTGTTCTTTTTCTTTAACAAAATCCTACAATTTGTCATCACCTCTGACAACATGTTCGACACGTCCAAGGGCAACCGTGAATGATGAAATGTATTTCACATAAGCTTATTAAAGTGAATCTTCCAGTTAATATCTTATCAATGTGCTTTACATTTCATCTCACGAGATCTTAATCAGATTTTGGGAAGAGAAAATTCTGAGAAACACAAGTTCCTACTTAATGCAGTTAACAAACTCTTACCTATGCCATGGTCGTACTGACCTAACTATAAACTTTTATTATTTACAAGCCTTTGAAAAACGTCATGCCTTTAAGTACCATCAAAATTCTCAATCAGAATTCCATGCGTACAATTCACACTACAGTGAAAGATCAAGTGCTAAACTCCTAAAAATAGGGGTGCTATCAGTGCGAAGGACACAACGCTCTGTTGCCAACGCGAAAGCGTCTTCGAGGGGGCACGGGCACTCCTTGTACACATACAGTAGGAACTGAATTCAACAAAACCCGGGAGCCAAAGGTCAGGTGACTTCGCACCAGACACTTTTAGTGTGATCGGGCAGTCAAGGGCTCATACCCCAGTTTAGCAACTAAATCTGAACTCGCATCCTAGCCACGCGCAACGATGGGTTCGGGGCCGAGGGGCCCTGGGACGCGGGCACCCGGGCACAGCCCCGGCCTGCGGACTGCGGATCCCTCCTGGAAGGGTGTCCGGAGAGGTTTCCGACCTGACAGCGAGGTGTACGCTCTCCCCGCGCGCTCCCCATCCTCCTCCGCCGGACTCGTCATTCCCTAGTTACCGCTTCCACCCTTTTCGCACAAGGGACAGACAAGGGACAGGGAGTGCCCGACGGGTGACAGGTCGCCCTGCGGCGTCCTAGCTCTCTGGGACCGAGCTCCGCAGCCGCTAACCTCCCCGCGCCCGGGTCTCCGGCCCCGACTCAAGGCCGCCCCCTCAGGTCGGGGCGGACGCAGCTTGCAGCCACGCGGCGGACGGGCAGGGGGCCGGACCCGGAGCAGACGCGCGCGCCTCCCGTGCACCCGACAGCTGCGGGAGCTGCGGCCCGCTGGGCGCCCTTTCAGGACGCGCGCGCTGCGAGAGCACGGGGCGCCGCGGGGGCTAGGCCCGGCGGCCCGACACGGCGGCGGGTGGAGAGCCGAGCCAGCCCGGGAGGACGACCTCGCCGCCCGTGGCCGGAGCCCGCGAGCCCGAGCGGCCCGCGCCTTCTGCCCACCCGGGCCCTACGGCCTCCGTCCCGCCGGCCCTTACCTAGGAAGGTCGTGGACGAGACATGGTTAACCCCGGTGCTCGAGTCGCTGGTCCGCCGCCGGCGCCGCAGCCCCGGGCGCGGCTGCTGCTTCGGCGACACCTCGTCCCCCTCCGCCATCTTGTACCGATTTAAAATTAACTCCCCACTGACGTCAAACGCCGCCGCCGCTTTATCAACCTCCCGGGAGCTGGCGGGGCGCTGACGGGTCCTAGCGCCGCCCTCAGACAGTGCCTCCTCGCCTTCCCCACGCCCTCCCCTGTCACGCCCATCGGCGCCCTCGCTCCGCCTCCGCACCCCCCGGCCTGCGGGGTTCTCCTGGCCTTTTTCTTCCAGGAGGAACTGGGCGACTTTCCCGCCACCACCGTCTCACACCCGTATTGCCCCGAGCTCCGTACCACACCCCCTTAGCGCAGGGCTGGTGTGTGTAAACCCAGTAGGTAAGTCCTTAGACCTAAGTCCCTTCTTCCCAATTCAGTAAAACAATGCGCTTTACAGCTCTTCTCCCTAAGAGTTGACTCGTGCCCTACACGTGAGGCTGCTTTCCACTCCTTTCCGTCCTTCCTTTTTATTCACACGCCCTCCTCCACAGCTATTCCCCTCCTCCCTCGATACCATCCCGCCCCTACTCCCCAGCAATTGCTTGTGCCCTGCTTTTCCTCGTGATCTTTTCTCGCACAAACCCCTAACGTTGCTTCCCCTCCAGAGACCATCCTACGATTTGTTCGCGCACAGCTCCATCTGCTTATGAGGCCCTTCCCCTATGTTCTTAGCTGTGCATACCCTTGCCCTCCAGGTACTAGCATCTTGCAGGGGCAAGCCACAAATCACTCAAATCAGAAAATGAACTGTAGCAGATTCTTTTCTAACTGTGATGAACTTTCTTGTAGAGATCCAGTGACCTCCTGTAGGAAGATAATGTCAGTTTTAATTTTTTTAATTGATTTATACAAAGAGAGGAAGGGAGAAAGAGATATCAATTCACTCATTGTTCCACTTACTTATGCATTCATCGGTTGACTCCTGGATGTGTCCTGACCCATATGGAACCCACAACCTTGGCATATGACAAGGATGCTGTTATCAACTGAGCTATCCTGTCAGGGCCTCCGGTCACTTTTAAAAATAGCCTGTGGAGACTTGTGTGATCCCTAATCTTTTGGATTTTTACCGTATCAGCAGCTGCATTAGAAATTCCTTTTCTCTGGGACAGACTGATAGTTGCCAGAGAGGGAGAAGGGTTGGGGAACTGGGTGAAAAAGATGAAGGGATTACAAAGTACAAATTGATAGTCACAAAAGGGTCATGAGGTTGTAAAGTACAGAATAGGGAATATAGTCAATAATATTGCAATAACTATGTGTAGTGCCAGGTGGATACTGAAAATATGGGCAGGAATACTTTGTAAAGTATGAGGTCTGTCCAGTTAATATCCATCCATACAATATGAAAAATAGAGACATATATCAGAGAAGATACGAGAAACATTACATAGGACAATGACCCTGTGGTTACCTTTCAAGTAGGCACCTTGGGACGTCACAGCTCTCCCAAACCATCAGCTGCCTAGCATATTTTCCTTAATCTCATTAATGATCTGAAATCTCTTCCCTTTCAAAGGTTTAAGTTTTGGGAAAAGCCAGAAGTCACAGCACCAATATGGGCTGTAGGGGAACTGAGTCACCTGGGTAATTTGATGTTTTGCCAAAAAACTGTATAAGACATGATGCATGAGCAGGCTCCATGTTGTGATGAAGCTGCCAATCACCAGTTGCCCACAGTTGTGGCCTTGTGAATCATCCAAATAGTTTTTGTGAAGGAATGTTTAAGCTTAAAGCAAACTTTCATGCCAAATCGTTACTCTACTTGCTCAGTCATTTTGAATGTGATGGCCACACAGTACACATGCTACTCAGCGGCATCTACTGTGTCCAACTGACTACTACAGTGAAGTTAACATTGTTCACCCATGCGCATTCCAGTCTACTTCTCCTTGGCTGCCAGGTTACATCAATGTCATGCAAACCATTCTTGTTATGTTAACAATGGCTGGACTTTTTCCAGACAGACCTTTGTGTGTAGCTATCTAACCACTATGCTGTACACCTGAAACTGATACAAAATAATATTGATGTAAACAGTAATTGAAAAATCTCTCCATGCACAAAAGAAAGGAGAAAGGCCATTAGGCCATTTGCAGACCCAGCAAGATGGTCATTTGCAAGCTAGAAAGACAGCCCTCACAAGAAACCAACACTAAATGGCACTTTCAACTTTCACTTCTGCACAAGAACTGTGAGAAAATGCCTACTGTTTAGGCCACCCCATCTGTGGTATTTTGTTATGGCAGCTCAAGCTGACAAGTAAAGAGTGCATCATTAATCCAGCTATCATAGTGGGCAACTGAAGTGTAAGTTTGCCAGGAAACTTATCTATACCCAAGGGGTGAAGAAGCTGGAATGTCTGCACATCAACTCATAACACAGTGGCTGATGCCTGCTCCCATAGGTTATCAACTTCTCTAAAAATTCATCTAGACACAGAGGAGCTTCCTGAAATTTAAGGGGTGGAGTGGGGGGAAGAGGACCTCAGGAACACATATGGATATCACAGCTAGAAACTTGGTGCTATTGGCGAAAGGATTGACTGAGGTCTGGTATCTTTGAAACTGCATGTAATGTACTTACTCCCAGGCAGTTTCAGAAGATCTCCCCAGGGATTTGACCTTATTGAAATCCACATCTACTTTTCCATTTGCATCTCACTTCCTTCCCCTGATCCTTTCACCTAAATACAGCAACCTCTCACTAGGGCATGAGGTATGTGTTCTGTACCTCAATCACACCAAATTTATAACAATAAATTATTGCAAAAGCCCTTCATACAAACTTTGAAAATCAAATGCAGAAGTCTATGAAGTTAAGTAAGAGAGAGAGAGAAAGGAAGGAAAGAAAGAAGAAAAGAAAAAAGAAAAGAAAAGAAAGAGGAAGGGAGGGAGGGAGGGAGGGGAGAAATCCCCTTTCTCTGGTGAAGACAGGTGGAACAGGTGCCCACCTCACTGTCTTGTTCAGGTCTTCTCCCAAGTCTGAAACTCTCAGCCTTCATCCTGCATGATCTCTACCAGAAAAGCATCAGAGTCATCAAAACTTGCAGGGTTCCATTCTACAGGTGTTTTTGTAGGGCTGCTTGTTTATTCACCTGTTGTCTGTCTACAGAAAGGGGTTTGGGCCTCCTCCTGGACTTTCTAACTCCCAGCCTCCTGGTTCAATACCCCTGGGGCAGCCTAAGCCCCAAGCCATAAATCTTGCTTGATGATAGAGTTTCTTCCCTATGTGGCATCTATTTAAAATTGTCCACAGTCTGCTATATAAAAGGTGTCATCTTGGGCATGAGAGAAGGTGCAAAGATGAGTAGTTTTGCTGTCAAATAATGAATTTCCAGTTAGAATTTATAGTTAATTTAGCACTGAATGCACCTCATCAGGGACACCCCTCAAGACAGTTGGTCAATTGGTGTCCTAACTGGTGTCCTTTCTACTACCATAGTCCCCCCTTTATCTTCAGGAGGGGTACATTCCAAGGTCCCCAGTGGATTCCTGAAACCATGGATAGTACCACACCCTATATATACTATGTTTTTTCATATACATACATACCTATGACAAAGTTTCATCTATAAATTAGGGACAGTAAGATATAAACAGCATCAATAATAAAATAAAAGTTATAACAATATATTGTAATAGAAGCTATATTAATTGCTTTGGGGCCATTAAATAAAATAAGGGTGCCTTGAACACAAGCTCTGCGATACGACAACAGTCAATCTGATGAGCTGGACGACTGCTAAGTGACTAGGAGGACAGCATGAGATGTCGTCACAATCCTCAGAAGGGCGTGCAAATTAAAACTTATGAGTAGTTTCTTTCTGGAATTTTCTGTTTAATATTTCCAGACCATGGTTGACTGCAGGTAACTGAAACTGTTGAAAGCAAACTGCAAACAAGGGGCAACTACTGTATTAGATACTGTTTATCTCATGGGCCACTGCCTCTGTGCCCTGGGCAGGTCCACCGTTCCTGACTCCAGTGCAGTGTACAGAAGCCAGTCATAAGTATATAGTCAAGAGATTAAGCATTATCTCATGGTCATGTCAAATCCATATGTTTAAAACGCCTTCCTCTGTTTTCCCCAGTCGGTCATTCCTCTTCAATTTCTTATCACAGTGAAACTTCAGTTCTAGTACATCTACATCCAGCAAGTCTCTTTTCACACCTCACACAGACCCCACCACCACAAGAACGTGAGATTCAGAAGCTGAAAGAGTTGTTTTGTTTAGAGTGTATCTCCAACACCTAAAGCAATGTGCAGTACATAGAGGGACCTTGAAAAATATCTGTGGGAAGGAAAGGAGGAAGGGAGGGAGGGCGGGTGAAGGAGGAAGAGTTACAATTCTGATTCTACCACTGATTCTCTTCATGTTTCTACACTTCCAGGGATCAAGTTGAATAATGTATTGAGAGTGTTTTCTAGACTGTAGAATAGCTAACATTTGTGGGCTGTTTTACTGTTTTAGGTGCTGTTCAAAGTAAAATATATATATATATTTTTTAATGACTATATATTTTATAGTCATTTAATCCTTACCACAATCTTAAGAGGTAAATGCTGTTGTTATTGTATTGTCATCTTACAGATGTAAAAACTGAGGCACCAAGAGGTTAAAAAAAAAAAGCTTGCCTACTTGGCAGAACTGGCATTGAAAGCAGGCAATCTGGATCCAGAGCTTATGCTCACATCCACTGTGATTGGTAACAAATTAGAACAATACTGAGAAACCATTTCCCACCCATCAGGTTAGGTTGGCAAAAATTCAAAAGTTTAGGATTAAACTCCGTTGGCAAGGATATGGGGGAAACCAGGCACTCATACACTGCCTTCTCATCAGGAAAGCAAAATGGGATAATCCCTATGGAGAGGAATTTGCCAATATCCAACAAATGTCATTCCCACTTACTCTTTGATCTGCCAACCTCACTTATGGGTGTTAACTCTGAAGACGCAACTCCAATTACACAAAAAACATACATTTGCACAAGATTATTCACTGCAGCACTCTTTGCAATTGCAAAATATTGACAACTGTCTAAATATCCAAGCATAGGTGATCAGTTAAATAACTAAGATAAATATGGAACACTTAGTAGCTATAAAAAAAAAAAGCAGAGGTAGGTGTCTATGAACTGACAGGGAATAATTTCCAAGAGATGTTTTCAAGTGAAAAAAAAACAAGCTACAGAACAACATAGGTAGTGTGCATCCTATGAGCAAAATATTTTATGTGAAAAAGAGAAATAAGAAAATATACATATGTCCACCTAACTGTCCAAAACTAAACTTAGAAAATGAGTTTGCCGTCCCTGAGTTAGGTTTAGGGTTAGGTTTATGGTTAGGGCTATGGTAGGGTGAGAGTTAAGGTTTGGGTTTGCATTAGGGTTAGGGTTATAGTTAGGGTTTGGGCTACATTTAAGGTTACAGTTAGGTCTTGGGCTAGGGTTAGGGCTAGCTCTAGGTCTAGGGCTAGGTATAGGGTTAAGCAGAAAACAATAAAGTTAGTTCCCTCCAAGGAGTGGAGTGTGGTGGAATGAGGCAGCAGGAAGATGGAATAGGGTGGCATTTATCTGAATGTACCTTTCTGTGCAGCGTTGACTTGGGGGGGAAACAGGCTTCTTTGGGACACATCTGGATCACATTCTACATGATCAGAAAATTAAATCAGCAAGGATGAGAAGTGGGAGCTAAAACTGAAAGCAAACAGAATAAGATCTTAACAGTATTTTAAACAAATAACCACAATGAAGAGGAAAAAAGGAGCCAACTGATCCAAGAAATTTACATACTATTAGATGATAAATATTTCTCTGCCTTGATCAGGGTGGAGGGAAAACATCAAACAAATCCTGAGTTCTTATTGGTCGGTTTGTTTTTGTAGAAGTATGGGCAAAGCAATTCCAAGCCTATTTTACATGTACTACAGAATTTTAAAATGTGTAAATATTTGGATGCTGAGAGCTGGAGTTCTCAATGAGGAGGAAGGAACATACAAATAATGAAAGGGGGAAGACAGAAGGAACCCTGTGGGATGGATTAAGTTGGAGGTATGGATATGGACCAAAGGTTTCTAAAAGCATGTGTGTGTGTATGTGCGTGCAAGTGTAAAAATGTGTGTCTATATATGTATGAATGTGTACAGGTATATACATGTATGTGTATACCTGGATATATTTCCTAGCTCTAACCACAGAAAAGAACTATAAACAAGGACACCAAGGCAGCAGTGATCATCCCTGGTGCCCCGTTTTGGTTTCCGATACCACTCCCTACTAAATGGGAACAGGAGTCTTTGGAGAAATGGCTGATTCTAGAACTGGGGCAGGGTAGGCTCAAGGTGAACTAGGAGCATCATTTTTGTGGTAGAAATTAAGGAGGAACTCAAAAATATAACGGAGCATATCTCAAATATACAAAAGTCAGCCTGAAGAGGCTCCCACTGACCAAATTCAGAACAATATAATTTGAGCACTAAAGCAGCTAAGGGCAATAGTGAAGTACAGATCTTTGGAAAGACAGGAATCTATCGGTGCATACTAATGATAGATAGATAGATAGATAGATAGATAGATAGATAGATAGATAGACAGACAGACAGCTGGGTGTGAAGGGAGGACTCCTGTTTACAGGAAAATGCTGAGGGTTGACTGATTAATGTGGAGGAAGCACTAGAGTTGGAAAGGCATCAATTTGCAACCACAAGGGCAGAGATTGGTTCAGACAAAAATCATCACTGGATACTAAATTAGGGAACTATGTCATATTCTAGAAACCCCTTTTCAACAATAACAATGAAGGAGTGAATACAGCCACCAGGAAACAGAAAATGTGCTGGTAATTTAAAGCAGACACTGAGAAACAGGGCAGTGAATGATACTCATCCAGACAGCCTGTCTGGACACACCTAATCCGCCCCCCCCAGCCAAACCACTACCCTGCCCTCAGGAATGTCTTTGAAGTCAGTGGGAAATGCATGTTTCACAGAACAAACTGCGTATCTTAGCTTCTTTTAAGATTCAGACAGTATCTACAGTGGACAGTATCTACTTATTACAATCAGCGTATTTTATTTGTAACTGGAGAGCACTCTCACTTAATTCTAAACTCCCAAAAACTGACTGGCTGGTTGGCAGACAAAACACTCCACCTTGACAAAGCCCTTAGAATTAATTGTCCTTGCTGTGATGTATTTAATCCTTGGATTCATTGCCACTAGAGTAGTTTTATCATCTTTAGACAGCTAACAATTTCAAACATTTCCCCAGCCCCTCGCCATTTCTCCCCACCCTCAATATTGTTGAGGTCTGTCCTCAAATATAAATATTTAGAATGTGAGTTCCTTCATTCTGTTTCCCATAACAGCTCTTTGCTGAAGCTGAAATGCTGGCAGATAATGCTACTGGCAAATATTTATCTTTCGAGCTTCTCTTTTTGTTTTTTTTTTTTTAAACTGTGTTTCAAGCTTGTCTTGATCACTATCTAAGAAAGTGAGATATCATAAAACATAATGAAATGATTGTGTTTTAAGACATTATGTTTTGGGGTAATTTGTTGTATGGCAGCAATAGGTAACCAGAATGCCTGCACATACAATGACAGCAACGTGCGAACACGGATGTATCCTGGAAGTGTAAACAAGCACAGAGCAATAACAAACGCTGACTTCAGGACTGTGATGACCACCTGTTGGTAAAGTTACATGCTTGCTTCTGCTGTCTGGAGCAGTAGCTCTTCATTTTCATTGTTGTTGCTGTTTTGTTTTATTTAAAAGTAATGCAAATGGTACATGGCATTTGCTTGCAGGATGTGTGGCCATGGACATGCCCAAGCATCCATTGGTGACCACCGTAAACTGGACTGTCGGCCGTGCAGCTCCTATCAGGAGCAGATCCAAGATCTGTGGGGCCTAAAGCATCTGCAAGTCGGGGGAACTTCTTTAAGAAAGCAAAGTAAATGTGAAAGTAAATGTTTATTTAGAGTGACAAAAGAAATCCCAAGAAATCCCAAATTTTATAAAGTTAACACCACAAACATACAGAAAATTTGTATTTTTATTGATTAAATACATGGCATACCTCTCTAATACTTTTTGTCTTACTTCTTTGCCTGTGTAGTCTTCGGTGGGTTCTTTATGTCATACCATTTTGGGATATCATTTTCTGAAGAGAAAATAGAAAGATGATTTTGTTTTTCCTTCAGCATAGTTAATAAATTTTTTACTTATTGACAGCCTCAAAAAGTCTCTTTTTGCTCCATAACATTTTATTGATGTCATGTACATTTTTAGGATTATTGTCAAATTTGCAAAAATCTCTGTCAGATCTCTTTCATGTAGGAACTTCAGCTTTTGGGACATATCCAGTTTTCTTTCTTTCTTTCTTTCTTTCTTTTTTTCTTTCTTTTTTTTCTTCTCTGGTTGTTGGTGTTCCTTTGAATTTATCGGAGTGACATTGGTTAAGAAAATGATATAGGTTTCAGATGTACAATTCTATAACACATCATCTGTATATTGTTCTGTTCACCACCCCAAGTCAAGTCTCCTTCCATCACCATTTATCCCCCTTTACCCTCTCCTCCCTCCCCACACCCCACCTTTCCCTCTGGTAGTCACCGTGCTGTTGTCTGTGTCTATGACATTTGGTTTGGTTTGGTTTTTTGCTTAATCCCTTCTCTTTTTTCACCCAGGCCCCTAGCCCCCCTCCCCTCTAACAGCTTGCTGTCTGTTCTCTGTATCTGTGAATCTGTTTGTCTTTTGTTTGTTAGTTTATTTTGTTCATTAGATTCTACATGAGTGAAGTCCAATGGTACTTGTCTTTTCATGGCTGGTTTATTTCACTTAGTACAATGTTCTCTGGGTCCATCCATGCTGTTGCACAGGGTAAAATTTTCTTCTTTTTTATGGCCAAGTAGTATTCCATTGTGTAAATGTACAGCAGCTGCTTTATTTACTCATCCACTGATGGGCACTTGGGCTGCTTCCAAATCTTGGCTATTGTAAAATAGCACTGTAACAAGTTTTCTTTTCAGTGGCTAATCTCAAATACCTTTTGAACTCGAAATGTATAGGGTGTTTATAATTGTATATACTGCATTATGCAGTAGATTCTTAACAGGCAAGAAGTACCATTTTAATCATCATTGATAAAGACAAAATCCCCTTTCTACAATTTTATCCATCTAATGATTGGAAAGAATTTTCCAGAGAGTAGTTTCTATCTCCATACTTCCCAAATATTATTTTTCCTCCAACCACCCCACACATATTGCTGCTGCTGGGCACTGCGGGACACTTTTACTTCAGACTGGCCATGTGCTCCTATTGCCTTTGAGTCTGAGAACACAGGGACAAAGAGACAAAGGAGGCATGAGACAGAAGGGTCTGCCCTTTTAGGTCTTAAATCCAGGAAGTCCATGGTAAGGAGACTGAAGGGAAAACAGAAAGCAGAGTGCGGTTTGTGCCCCCCTTCCCCATTTGGAACTCGGGGCAGGGGAACTGCTCCACAGAGTGGCCTTGCTCCTTCAAGGAATTGTCACAACAAATTAAAAACGATGGTGCGTGGGGGTGAGGTGGAAATGGGGCTTTGTTCTCTCTTCTGAGACTTGCTTAACTAGGTCGGAGGGCAGTACACACAGCACAGGACTAGGACGGTAGCTGAGCTGGGGACCAGAGGCCATCGTTATGAGCACAGTGTTCAATCTAAGGCAGGAATCGCACGGAGGGTATAGGTGAGAATCAGACGGGTGACCTGAATTAGCAAAAAAACAGTGCTGGGTCCTGGACACGCCAAAGAACAAAGCCCAGGCAAGTCAGCCCCAGCTCCATAGATGAGTGGAGGTGCCCAGGGACCAGATCAGGCAGGACACCTCACAGCGCAGCCCCGCCAGGCTCCGCACTCGCGAGAGCCCTGGGATCCAGCTGTGCATTCCAGGCCCCTCCCCTGCCAGTCACCCGTGTGAACTTTCCACTTTGTCTGCAGCCCCCCAGCTGTTACGAGAAACAGTGGGGCGTAAGATGCCAAAAGCAGATTTTTAAGCCACAGGGGAAGATCCCTGGAATCTGCTACTAAGACTTAAAACAATATTAAACACTTTTGTGTCTCGCCATTCATAGTACCATAATAAGATAACATAGAGTATTACTCTTTTTCAGTTAAGCTTTACAGTAACTTTAAAACAGATATTATTACTATCTCCATTAACAACAAGAAACCTGAAGCCAAGGGAAATTAAATAATTTGCCGAAGGTCACCTAGCTTATAAAATAGGGGAGCTGGGCTTGGAACCGATGGATAGAACTTGGAAGTTCACACTTGGAATGACTAAGTTATGTTTGCCTGGAACAGCTTGAGAAACTCCAGGTATATGATACCAGCAGCTTCTTGGGGTTAGCCTATCTCATCCCACACCCCCAAGTCCCTTTCTTGTCACCACGAGACATCAGTATCCAATCTCAGATGAAGCCATCGATGCTCCAGTGTATTAGGTGCAGTCTGCTTCTCAAATCCAGAGCCCAAACTGCTTTATAGGGGGTCACACGTTGCTAGAGAAACACCACATCAGCTATCACTAGTCTGGATGCCACGCAGGGCAATGCTGGCAGCAGCCAACCATGTCCTCCATCTCATACCTATTCTCTGATGTATTCCAGAAGCCTCTGGAGCATCTTAAAGGCATATTTTAATCCATGAAAATTCACCATTAGACATCTGCACTTGCTATGGAAAACCCAGAAACTGCAGCAGCAAGAGTTTTGGATTGCAATTTCAACACTGTGATCAGAAGCCTCGAAAGCATATTTAATTTGTGTATACTTTCGTTTCCACAAAACTGAAGGAAGTGCAACTCACCACTGTTGTTTATAGGCTGGCTGGTGTGTTTCGTCTTGAGCAAGTGCTCATGTTCAGTGTACTTCTCTGCCCAGCCTCACCATCTCCTTCAACGCCCTCCTCCCCCATAGCGTCTGCTTTCCTCGGGGTTCTGGAGGACAGAGCCATATCCTTGCTGGTGCTGACAGTGGCCACGGAGACAGCTAGGATCTAGGCCAAGCGTGCCGATGGCTGATGCTCCTAGCGCCTCTGGTCCGCTGGGTACCACAGCTAAGATTCCGTACAGGGGCCTCGAGATCAGCCTGCAACCAGCTCTGCCACACTCTGTTCTGAGCAGTTCTGCGTGAGCCTTAAGATTCCCACAGTCTCTCCTGAATAGAGACTTTACAATTTCTTCTTCTCGCTTCTTGCTGGACATGTCTCAAAGTCTCATGAAGCCAATGCCTCTGTTTTTGGTCTCAAACCTGTAACCAGAGGTCTCCAGCAGCTCCCAAAAGGGCAGGCAGGGAACAGATGCTGTGGCTGTCCTCCACCACTCACTTTTCAGGCCCTAATCTTACTGGTTCTCCCCCTAAGGGCACTGGATGTTTGACCAACCCCGCACAAAACATGCACGCTAGTGATAACTGTGCCTGCAAAGCTGAAAGGGACTTACTTGAAAGAGAAATATTGTCCTCACTATCTGTACTTTGGCCCAAGCTCAGTAAAGCAAAATTGCCCTGTAACAGATGCTAAAAATAAAAATACTTAGGAATTTCAGCTTGGATTAAATGTTTTCTCCTGTTCTTATTTTACCTCTGTAGAACCAAAAATATACATGTGCATCTGGCAAACAGCATGTTTAAATTTTAGTTCATGGGCACATTTACAGCTGAAGGTCATGACCAACAGCACCCTGTATCCTTTATTGGGACTCTCCTAACCTACATTCATGCTTTATTTTATTTCACCCTTCATTGATGCTGATTGATAGGATTTATTACATTTGGGTCCATGAAGGAAAATTATGGGCAGCACATCCTGACTGTCAGTAGGGGGCTTGTTCTTAAACATGTTATTTCTCATGATAAAAGTCGCAGTTGTCTAAAAGAACATAAAATTTTTCAGTCTAATACTTAAACGAGAGTGGTTTTAACATATTTCCTAAAGCTTATGTGAGAACTGAGGAGTTAGTCGCCACTTGGGGCACAGAGGGGGTTCAGCAGAACAGGCAGAACACATGGCTATTGCCCAGAATTAAGTCAGGAGAGGAGCTCCAGAAAGCCATCGAAATTTCAGGTGGACACTCGGGGGAGGGTGAAAGAAAAACAACAGGCCTTTGGTGGAAAGACAGGAAAAGGGATAGTATGGGATAAAGGAGCTATTGTGACCAGCCAAGAATGGCAAAGAGACAAAGAGAAAGTTAAAGTTGAGAGGGTGAGAAAATGTCTATTGTGGGTCAAGAAGGAAAAGAGAAATTATGCAACAAAAATTCAGGAACCAGAAAGAAGAAATAAGAAAGAGAGAGAATAAATGGAATGTATGAGAGTCCCATATGCGTCTGGGGAATCTGCATCTGCTCACTGCATGATGGTATTTCCAAGCCCCATGAGTAAGGGAATGAATGAACAAGAGCTTGGTTTCTAGTCTACCCTCTTCGACATCCACTAAAGCAGGGGGGTCAAACTCATTTTCACCAGGGGCCACATCAGCCCTGTGGTTGCCTTCAAAGGGCGGAATGTATAGAGCTCCCTGCCCCTAGTTAAGGAGTAGTTACATTTATACAGTCCTAAAATTATATTTGACCCTTTGAAGGCAACCTCGAGGCTGATGGGGCCCCTGGTGAAAATGAGTTTGACCCCCCTACTAAAACAGTCTGGCCAGCTATTCTCTCCCCAGCAGCAGGGAAGGAAAGAAGAATGCAGACAACAAAGGTGGGAGCAAAGAATAAAAGGTCATAGCAGCAAATACTTCAAGAGAGGAGGGACTTGGGAGGTGCTTCTGGGAAGACTGGCGAGATAAGTCCAGGATCCGTAAATGCAGGATCTACCGTGAGCTGGGGATTCATGTGGGTAGACTAGGCCTCAAAGGGTCTGCAATGGACTTGCAAATAGTGATATAGATTCTTAGGCACAGATCCACTGATAATTTACATTACTTGCACTCAGTGAGAATGGATGGTTTAAATCTAAGACTGACTGATTCTCCGAGCAGTGTACCTAAGGATATGGTGTTGCTGTTGGACACAAGC